ATTTACATTATTTGGACAACAACGTTTCGGCCGTTGTACGCTCCGGCCTTCTTCAGGTGATTAGAATTTTCTTCAATATCTGTCTATATCTATGAGAGGAGCTATTATGATTATTTACATTATTCGAACTGTCATCCTCATCTTCATTGCCGTATTCACAAGGTTTCGGCAGTTGTACGCTACGGCCATCTTCAGGGGATTGGATCTCTGAGATGTGGTATTATGATTATTTACATTATTTACATTATTCGGACTGTTATCCTCATCTTTATTGCCATATTCACAACGTTTCGGCCGATGTACGCTCCGGCCTTCTTCAGGTGATTAGGATTTCGAACCGAACCCTTTATTTAGTCCACCGGGGTAGATTGTTCTAGTTCCAATTTCGATGCATGAAATAAAGGTTTCAGTTCGAAATTCCAATCACTTGAAGAAGGCCGGAGCGTGCAACAGTCAAAACATTGTGAATATGACAATGAAGATGAGGATAACAGTCCGAATAATGTAAATAATCATAATACCTCATCTCATAGATATAGACACATATTGAAGAAAAATTCTAATCACCTGAAGAAGGCCGGAGCGTACAACGGCTGAAACGTTGTGAATATGGTAATGAAGATGAGGATAACAGTCCGAATAATGTAAATAATGTAAATAATCATAATACCTCATCTCATAGATATAGACAGATATTGACGAAAAATTCCAATCACCTGAAGAAGGTCGAAGCTTACAATGGCCGAAACGATGTGAATATGGTAATGAAGATGAGGATAACAATCCGAATAATGTTAATAATATAAGTAAAGTGGCCGCTGTGTGTGTAAATATTTATGTACGTACGTTTGTGTATGTGCGTGTGTGTGTATGTGTCCAACTTTGTACCTGACGTAGGTGTATATTTCTTGCTGGCCTAATTTGGACATGTGACAAACAGATTCTGCCTCAGTCAGTTGCATATTTCCTACTGCAAAACACAATGGCAGTTTTATTTTGACATTTACTTTAGGCTCCATTTTGTGAAGGCTTTTGGCGCGAATTCTCAATATTCATGTTTTATTGATTTGATTTTTTTAATATTTTTTTTTTCAAAAATGTCGGCTTTATTACGTTGAAGTGGATATTATTGATTTCAGAAATTTCATTAGCCTTATTTCACAGATTGCATTTTATTTTGCCAGGTTGCTATAATTATTTGTTTTTTTTTTTATTCGGCAGATGACCAAATCCCTAAATTGGAAAAAAATGAAAATGGCATCTTAAAGCCTTTAGTGTGCTTCCAAGTAGAACGCGACGCCCTTCACCGTCTCATCATTGATTGGTTCAAAAAAAAGACTAACCAAAAAGAATGGCGAAACTCCGGTAAGTAATTTCAGCAATAAATTCCATCTTAAACACTTTCGAAATAGACGACGCCAAATCTACCCTAGATGCCACCCAGTCTGATACGGGTATGCCAAGCAGCCCATAATTTCAGGTCGGTTAGTTCCGTTCTTTCAAACCGTTTCCGAATTAAGTTATTCTCAAATATTTCGATGTGACTCCCAAGCCGCCTTTGCTGCCACATCCTCCAAACTTAAAAAGACAACCCTTTCGACATCTAGCCATGTTGTTTCCACACTACTCCCGCTCAATATGGTCAGACAACGAAGAAGCCAGTCTGAGGTCCTCAATAGGTTATTTACTGTAACCCATTTTGAATCTCCAAGATAAAATATGTTTATTTAAGATCAGAAGCCATGAGAAGACAGGTGTAGCTTCGGAGCTTTTATTATCATTATTATTTGTTATGTTATATTTCCTGATTTCTGTCCTGTAGAGCCGGCTCCAAACTATAGTCTTTAGCCTCTATAAGAGAATTGTCATTGCACTTAATACATGGGATGTTACTCGTAGGGCGCTCTTTTGGGCAACTTTTATGTTGATGTTACCTGGGACACTTTTAGTAAAATTGTCCATTTCTTTTCTCACGAGGCCCAGTGCTCTGATTACTATTGGTACAGTCTCAGTGATCATTCCCCACATCCTGTTAATCTCGATCCCCAGGTCCTTGTACTTAGACAATTTCTCGATAATTTTTATGGAGGTGTTTCTCTCAGATAGTAATGCTATGCCAATAAGCATATTATTATTATTATTATTATTATTATTCCTTTGATTTCTGGTGTATACTCATTTCTTTCTGGGTCCTGAAAAAAGTCAGAAATGGCATCATGACATTTTTCACTTAGCAGTTTTGAAAAAAAAAATCACACATATTTTACATAGATAAAGACCTTCGCAAAGTGTGGGCTGTACTCATGAAAACATTCTTTTTTTTTTTTGTATTTCTTTAAGGTATGGGTTACCAGTCTATTGGAATCTTTTCCAAGAGGGCTCCAACTACAACTGGAATTATTAATGTCCTCATGTTCCACATTTTTGAGATTTCGATTTCAAGGTCCTTGTATTTTGATATTTTTTTGAAGATCTCCAAAGATACATTGCAGTCTGCAGGGACTGCCATTTCAATAAGGAGGCAAACTTTGCGGTCTCAAATCACAATGCCAGGGCAATTAGCTTTAATTGTTTTGTCTGTGTGTATTGTTTCTTCAAAGATACATTGCAGTCTGCAGGGACTGCCATATCAATAAAGTGGCAATTTTTTGTTTGCTGTCTCTAATAACAATAATAATAGGCGGTTAGCTTTGATTGTTTTCTATCTGTGTGTATTCACATAAAATTGTAACAGGTTCTATCTCCATAACCGTTCTGGGTGGTGTTCATACTAATTTCTTTCAGTTTCCTTTCCATAGAAGTTGCAAATTTTACAGTTTAGATATTGGCCCTCTCTGACATGCCGGGTTTTATATTCAGTGGGTGCCAATATCGTGCAACCTGATACAAGATGATCAATTGTTTCTGGATATTTATCACAAAATCTACATTAAAATCTTCTTTTTTTCTGTAAGTCTTTTACAATGCCATGCTGGTTCATAACCATTGACTTAGGACAAGCGAAAGATGTGATTTTTTTCTTATTTCCACTGAATTAAACAAAATACATTATTAAAAAAGAACTTAAATAAACAAAACCCTTCCCAGGCTATTTATGGAGATTTCCTGTAGAGATGGCGCACCACGGATTTTGATGATTTGTTCTTGAGTTTCTTTTTAACAGACCCAGAGCACAATCTATAACCGGAACAGTTTTACTTTTTAAGTGCCATATTTTTTGTATTTGTTTAATTTTTCTAAAGAATTTCATAGAGATTATTTCTTTCACTTGTTACGCACATGTTAATCAATATGAATTTATTTTCTTGTGTGTCTTTGATAATAAAGCCTGGGCGATTTGATTCTATTGCTTGATCTGTATGAAAAAAAAAACAGGATAAAATGTCTGCTCATCGACAGGACGCATGAAATCAAAAGAAGGAATACAGATAATGGAAAAAGGAAGCACGAAAAAGACCAAAAACTCCTCCGCGATGAATGGAAGGGATAAAAAATCTGAAATTAACAAAAATATGAATCAGAAATATTAACATCTTAAATGAAATCAACACGGTCAGTTATATACCATTACGCGTGTGTCCTATATACCATTACGTGTGTCCTATATACCATTACGCGAGGGTCTTATAAACTATTACGTATGTGTCCCCTATACCATTAGGCGTGTGTCTTATATACCATTATGCATGTGACCTATATACTATTACGCGTGTGTCTTA